GAATCCCGCCGGTAGTGCTGATGAGACCGATGCAAGATCGTGACTGCAGTCCACTTTGGGGCAGCACTGCTAAGTGAGCTCCAATGTGAACGTGAGGCCTATTCATCGGATTGGGGGAAAATTCAACTGTCAGTCCTTCAGTGGCCAGAACTGCTATTCAAGATTAACTGATGTCCTTGAAACCTACTTTCTATGAATATAATGAAATATATTTGTGGTGTGAGGCCTACTTCTAGCATTGTGAGATAATCAAACTATCAGTGGATGTATGGTGCTTATTCAAGAAGCAACCCTTCAGATGAAGGTTCATTTGGCACCACGATAGCCAATTTGCCTATTCCAGAGGAATCGCATAATTCTGTCTGTTACTATGCCCTAATACCAATCACGTAGACACTCAAAAAGTATTCGATTTTGTTGCAATTAAATGCGATATCTCAGAAATACGGAAGCTCCACTTCATTTGCCTCGGGGCATGAATACAAGAGTGCAACAATTCTGTTTAAAACGAGCTTACGCCAGCCTGATTAAGTTCATCTTCGCGAGCAAGTGTAGTCCCAAAGCGACTCGGTTTATACGCAAATCCTGGAAAATGGGGCTAACTAATTGTACCAGGAGGAGGAGGAGGAGTGCTGCCCCCCCCACAAAAAGGCCAGACGGCAAGACAGAAAAATGTCGACTCAGCAGAAGCCTCAAGGCCGAATGGAGTGAGCTGTCAAAAAGGAGAGAACGAGATGTCCGAGACACGAGGCAAAAGAGGAGCACAAGGCCATGCTTCTGGAGCCAGAGCGTTGCCGAGACTTCTGGGTGGATCCCGGAAGGCAGTGGAGAATGATGAGACTTATCCGAGCCCGACCAGACCAGATTTAGGATTAAGAGAGTGACAGAGGCAGAAACGAAGCCGGGGAGAGTCGGTGTAGTGTCGATGGTGTGATTTGACCGGAGCTTAAACGTCAGCATTCGGATACTGTCAACTTGTCAGATTATTTAAGACCCCGCGCTAATCCAGTGCACCTGCTTCATCCGCAGGCCACAAACATGTAATTAAGCCCTGCTGCCCTTCGACATGGAGATAAACTCAATCTAAAGTTGAGAGCGCTGGGGCAGAGGATGATGGGGAAGGAAGCAGTTTGCAGAATAAGTTGAGAGTAACGACGCTCCGAGGTCTTATTGCTAGACTTGCTTGCTAGATTTCTATTCATTACTTGCTGCTTCTCGTGAAAAGGGAATATCCTCCGTCCCTTCCCCAAACACGACGCAATATCCCCTTTTTTCCTGATGTTATCACTGCATAATTTTGGTTCCTTTACAAAGCATTCCCCATATCGGCAAAGAGACTGCGCAAAATATCCCCTTCTTTCGGATGCCTCAACGACAAGAGTGTGATACACATTTACACACACACACACACATATATATATATAGATGTATGCATGCTGATGGACACCTGATTAGGGAAGCAGACAGACAGACACAAGCATGCCCATAACATGTGGAAGCTTGTTTCAACATTCCAAAAGTTACGATGTAGTATTGTGATGACATTTTAGTGTGTCGACTCCATAAGCCAGCCTCCTAATATCTCATAGGGTAGCATGTCTCCAGGCCAGGTGCACCTATCCGTTTTCCAATAACGAATTTTGTGTCATACCGAAGACAGGATTGTGATTTAACGGAAGAAGGCTTTATGAAGACAGAAACCGTTGTCACTTGATTTTCAAATACAGCTCCCCGAAAACCATCACAATCATCATTAGCCAGCAGTTGTCCGGGCTTTTAGAAATGTTAACGGCTTTCACGAGCGCTTGGTGGGGCGCTTCCAATGTCACATAAAGTCTTGTTTGCGGTGTCGAATACATTCTAACACCCGGTTGGACAATATCCCTTCCGATGTTGGTGTACCTTCCAATTCATTTGAAGAGGCGAGTGAGAGGGACTGGAAATTGGCTTTTCCTGAGGCCTAAAGAAGATTTGATTTGGGGTTTTTTAAATAAGTTTTTGGTACGTCATTCCACGACCCCTATGACG